GTGTGTGTGTGTGTGTGTGTGTGTGTGTGTGTGTGTGTGTGTGTGTGTGTGTGTGTTTTCTGTTTGAAGGCTCTGCTGGAGGGTGAAGGTGTGATGGATGTGATGGGACTGGTGTTGGCTCTGGTCCCCAGAGCCAACACCAGTCCCATCACATCCATCACACCTTCACCCTCCAGCAGAGCCTTCAAACAGAAAACACACACTCACACACAAGATCCATTACAGACTGCTGGTACCTCAAACCCTCTGTATTACACGTCTCAAAGCAGAGATACATAGTGGGAAAAGGGCGATATTTATGGTACAGTATGTTAATACTGTATACTATGAGAAGAGAGGGGATACAGCCTTTCAAATTGCGACCTATGCGTTTCCCTGTGTGTGTGTGTGTGTGTGTGTGTGTGTGTGTGTGTGTGTGTGTGTGTGTGTGTGTGTGTGTGTGTGTGTGTGTGTGTGTGTGTATGTACTGTATTAGTGATGGTATACACTCTTGTCTGATAGCGCTGATGGAGTACTGGCACCCAACAGCGAATACCCTGTGTGTGTGTGTGTGTGTGTGTGTGTGTGTGTGTGTGTGTGTGTGTGTGTGTGTGTGTGTGTGTGTGTGTGTGTGTGTGTGTGTTTATATGTCTGGGAGGAAGAGTTGTGTTTGATTTGATTTCTGTTTGTCTGTATTATTGTTATTATTTTTAGCTTACATATGTATTCAGCATTTTGTATATTTTGTAAGTAATTGCTGTTTTTCTTTTTCTTATGCACTTTTATTTATTTATTTTTTTAAAGAAAAAAAATTGGTGCTTTTGGTTGTACATGTTGTGTATTAATCTCAATAAAAATGTGATCACAAAAAGAGAAGAGAGGGGATGTGTAACAAGTTGCTTTATGTCCCACCTTACAGACAGATGAAACTGTGTTGAGCTTGCTCTGGATGGAAGCGGTCCCATCGATGAAGGCCGCCTGGAAGATGATGCAGTGAGCTCTGCCTGCAAAGTCTGGGATCTGAGACAGCTCATACAGGAACCTGCAGCACAACAACATCAACACATGAGAGGACACACACACACACACACACACACACACACACACACACACACACACACACACACACACACACACACACACACACACACACACACACACACACACACACACACACACACACACACACACACACACACACACACACACACACACACACACAGCTTACATACAATCACTGCTAACACACAGCAGGGGAGATACTTACTGTTCAGGTTTGTCCAGCAGTTTCACTTCCTCTTCCTCGGACGTCTCGTAATGCTTCCTGATCCTCTCCAGCTCTTCTGGCTGCGCTCTCTGATATATTGACATTAACATATAAATAAGTAGTCCTTAATTGTACAGTTGCACTTGCATTTAAACCACAGTATGTAGTGTGCTTTAAAAACTAAATGTTGTATTACTTTGACATGTATGTTAATTGTGTTAAATAAACAACATATGAAGTGAGAACATGTCACCAGTTTTAGCAATACCTACATTTTCATAAAGGGCTTCAATGGTCTCCAAGTCCACCACAGAGTGATCTACTGCCAGCACCGCTAGAACGGGAATGTTAAATCAAGGCACAGATATCAAATTTAAAAGTGAAAGTCCAAACAGAGCAGCAGATCTCCAGAGGACATGAACATGAACACATCTCTCTCTGCTCCACGATACATGTTGAGGAGTCTGGGATTAGCACTGCTGATTGTGGTAAATGTTTTTCAGTCTTTGGTCATACTTTAAATTCACCAACAGCTCATATTCAGAGTGAAGCCCAGGCTAACTTCAGTGTGATGATGGGTTACAGATGAAGGCTCCAATTCCCAAAACTGGCTTGGAAATATAGCTGATCACTGAATTGTATGTCATAACATGATGATGTGTGCTTGATTTCACACACTTTAATAGTCCAAATGATATTTTAAAGGCGGGAAAGTAGTTTAGAGTACAATATTTCCCTTCCCTAGTGGAGTTGAAGTACAAATAGCATAAAGTAAAAGGAAAATAGTCAAGTAAAGTACCTCAGAATTGTCATAATGTACTGTACTTTAGTAGATGTACTTTGTTATTTTCCACAAATCGTACTAACCACAATTTACCATCAAATCAGGTCCAACTGTTTTGTAAAAGCTGTGTTAAATACCTATGGGAATCGGTATAATTAATGTAAGAGATCTTTTGATTTTGACACTTTTTATTCCCTGGGTCTTAGACAAATATATTTTATTATAAGTGTAAGTGTTATAATGTCAAATAAATGTGAATCTGAGCTTTTCAAAGACAAAATGTGCTTAAGAAATCTGAGCTTCTTCATTATATGACTATATTGGAAGTACGGTTTATTTCCTGATGCACTTTGAACTAAGCTGCGTCCTAGCAACACGACTGAACCAATGACACGCCTCGATGACTCACCTTGTTGGATGTCTTTCATCTCCAGGTGGAGGCTCGATATGAGGATGCCCACGGCCTGAGAGCGCTTCCCTTCCAACAGCTTAATGATCTTACACACACACACACACGCACGCACACACAGTTACCATGACTACCTTAACACTAGAAGCCATTAGGGAGTCATTAGTAGAGAGTTTGTGTTAAAAGGTGCAGCAAAACAAACAAAGGTCACTTATTATTAACCTCTTGTTTGAACAGATGGGGTTTTCTTTTCCCTTTTTGTTTAATCATAATCATGTAAATGTATGTTTTCTTCTCATTGTCTGTTAAATGTTTTCTTATTTGTTATACTTTGGATTGTCTTTGTGTCAATACAAATACGTCTGTATCATTAGGGTCATTTCTGCCTAAATACAGCAGACAAAATAAAATGAGGAACTGCAACTCAATCAAATTTGGGGGGGAAATGATCAAAGTTACATAATAGTGGCAAAATATGAGGGGTGTGATGAGGGGAAAGATTTTGAATAATCACGATTTAAAAACACTTGATTTGAGGATACAATGGGGATTATTTAGTGTGTTCAAAAATCTCATAGTTGTGTCTCAATCTGGATTTAATGTTCTTTTATATTTTATATTCCCTATATGTTGTCTCAATGGCATTAACCCCCTCTAGTGGAGAAGCAACATATTACAAATATCCCATATTCTGCAGTTTGTCCATGCATGATTTTGCATCTTACCTTCCTGGCTTTGGCTTTCTTCTCATAAGACTCGGACAGCGGCTTCTTCTTGGAGTGTGTGATTGTTTTGGCAAAAAGATCCTCAAACTGGCCGGCATTTATTATATTTGGTTCCTCTAGAATGTTCCACAGTGTGTTCCTGAGAGAGAGAACATCATATTTCATCAGCATGTTTTCAATCTATTTACTTTTGTCAGGTGTTTAAAGTGGGGCAGTACAATAAGATAATCATTTCATTTACAAAATGTAAAAAACTGAAACGATAAAATACGTATCTTGATAGTTTCAGATTTCTTTTTTTACATTATTTATATTTAAAAAGTCTGCTTTAAGATCTTTTTGAGCTTTCTTTTCCTAGTAGATTGCAAATGTTTTACCAAGTGAATTCATACAATACCTGATTTAAAAAAAAACTTTTGTATTTAACATTATATTTAAATAAAAAGTAAGAATACGTTTATTTTTACAGCAGTGTTTGACCCTACTTGTTGTGCTGGATATGGATTCTGGTCCAGTAGAGAGGCTTCATGGGTCGGGACGGCTCCACTGTCTGCTTCCTTGGAGGTTTTTCAACAATAAAACCCCCAGCTGGAGGAGGAGGTGGTGGGGGAGCGAAGCCTGGAGTGAAGGGAGGAGGTGGAGGAGGTGGGGGAGCAAAGCCTGGAGTGGAGGGAGGAGGTGGAGGAGGTGGGGGAGCAAAGCCTGGAGTGAAGGGAGGAGGTGGAGGAGGTGGGGGAGCAAAGCCTGGAGTGGAGGATGGAGGTGGAGGAGGTGGGGGAGGAGGCAGGATGTGTGTTTTGGTTGTCTGAGAAGCAGCTAGTGGTTGTACTGATGGAGTCTGCATATGAGGAAGTGATGGAGGGTCATGTGATGAAGAGGAAGTATCGTCCCTGTGTCCGGCCAGGCTGAGGCTGATAGACGTCAGGTCNGCTGCGAGGAGCGGACAGGTTTCCGGGTCGGAAATACAGCGAGAACAAGTGAAACTCATCCTGAGCACACACAAACACTCACAGCCGAAGTAAAAACAATAAGTTTGGCTTGATATTGAGTAAGAAAAGCTTTATAACGCTGTGAGCATGGGTCTGCGGAGAGCCTTACTCCGGGATCCCAACTCGTCTATTACCAGCGTTCAGGGAGCTCTATGCAAGTCACTGGGGACTCCCTGTTAGTTAGCCAAGACATCCTGGCGTGTGAGGTGCTCCGTGGATTGGTCCATTTGGGCCATTCCGGTCATTTGTTGTTGATTTGGGTGTTCACATGTCACAGAACCCAGGAAGCAAACAATGGAAAATGAGAATTCTCCAACGAGGCGTTCTGGGGCAGCATACTGTAGACAGGTATTTTCTGTGTTAGAGTTTTACTCCCTACAGGGTGTACTTTGAGGGTTTGTGATTCTGCAGACCGTTTACATGCATAGAAACTTTCATAACACACAAGGGGACGGGTAATAACCAGATAAGCATGACATGGGACCTTTAAACCATTCAACAATTGTTCACATTTCAAAAGTCAGAAAATGTGACTCCAATCTTCTCTGGCCATATAAATGCATTATGCATTGATTGGACTTACTGTATGTGATTAACAATAATACCATCAGTTATAACTTGGTAAATAAAGGAAGAACACATGATCAAGTGATAAATAATGTACAAAGTTGCACCACATTCATTAATTTGTAGATTTAGTGCAACATTTTCTGTGTTCCCCTTTAAAGCTCAGTAACACAGTCCATCACTTTGACAAATTAAGCCTTACAAACTGCTGTATTACAGTGTGGTTGATTTCTAAATGCTACTTTATCCCTATAAACATGGTGTTAACGAGGCCCTGGTTGTGCTGCCCCTGACTGAAGCTCTTCCCCTGGTGGGTGAGTGCCAGGCGAGAAGAGCTGTACTGTATGTGCTGTGGAAGCATCATCTTTAAAAAGGCTAAATTTAAACCCCCAGAGTCGTCGCCTTGGTATGCAGAAGGCTTCCAGAACAACATAAACTCCAAATAAGCCCTGAGGAGCAACTGGTGGATAGCAAGCTTCGATCACCTGGTTTTAAAAAAGGTGGAACAGCTGCTCACCTGGACAACCAAGTTCAAATGATTCAGAAAAATTAAATAAGTATTTCTTTACCTTTATTTTAAGACCATTTAGTAATAGCAACTACACCTGCAAAGCTGTCAATTCTCACACATATGCAGTGTGATGTTAACAATTAAACATTGAGTCTTTGATGTCAGACAGAGGTAAACAAAAGCAGACGTATAATTTCTCCTTAACTAAACTTTAAAAAAATACAATCTTAATGAGTGTTTGCTCCAAATCTGTAAGAAAAACATGCCATACTTGTTTTGATTAAGTCAGAATTTAGCTCAACATTTTTACAAGAACTGTCTAATATTACTTCAAATATAACAATCCTGCAAATTCCAGATTAAACTTGATGTATAATGCTGGTTTGACTTTGACTTGTTAGCGCACTCAGCTAGTATTTCGGCATCATAACATTGCACAACAGCACTGCGGAAAAACTATTTTTTAAGAACTTTTGATAAACCCAAATAAGTATGTTATCCATCTCAGATGTTTTCCCTGGCTGTAACACATTTTAGCTGAAAAACATCCTTTTAAAGTGGTGAAAAACAAGCAGTATTCTGGACAGAGCGGTCTATTGGAGCTTAACCACAAAGACATTTTATAATTCCCAGAAAACATGACAATCACTTGGTTATGAAATATTCACCTGCAAATGTTCTCTTGTGTCACTTCAGTGAAGAAGCAGGTTCATTTCTGTTTTTGACAAGTATGTGACTGTTTAGCACAACAACTCAACCGACAAGTAACTATCCAACAAATAACACGTCATTTCATTGCACTGCAATTACCAAAATCTCTGTTTTGACAACACTGCAATTAGACTCAAAAAGAGCTTGCACGTTGTCTGATTCCTGCGTAAAGCCAATCTATTTAGTTTGAAATACAATCAAAAGCTGAACTCAGATCCTTTTCTGAAGATCACAAACAATCTAAAGTAAAAAAGAAGTAATTCCAAATCCATGAGCAATGACTTTCACTGAGTTGTTCTGCCATTTATTTAAACGTTTATATATCAGCTTCAGTGTGTGTCTATGGAGGTACAGAGGGGGCTGGTGTCTCCATCTTGCAGTGGACGTGTAACATTTTCCTCAGTTTTCTTTGACAGATAAGTCCTGATCGCTGCCAGCTTTCCCAACGTCACACATCAACAGCAAGGTGAGACTGCGTCTGTCCTGAAATGTAATCACAATGTCTGGACTTCTCTCGACACATGGACTTGTGTCTCCTGTATCCAATTACAGGACACTTTGAAATTTTATTCCTTAAACACGTCATCTGACATGACAGCTGCGCATTTTGGCACATTTTGTCTTGCAACTGTTTTCCTTCCAAAACAGAGGCTAAAACAATGCTATAATGAAGTTCAACAAAAAGCACAAACGACTGATTTTTTTTCCTATTAATCCTCCAATTGTAGGGCTTCCTTTGAGGGCACGTTTCTCTCACCACCAAGATCTGATAACAAGGCCTCTGTGGACCCAGGGGAACCCCCTCCCTTTCAAACTGCTGTTGCTGTCAAATAACCAGCATGCCATTGTGACAGTTGAATCTGAGAGGCCTGGGTCAGCATATCACTGGCATCACAAATAGTAGGAGCTGTTAAGTGTTAGGGTCCCGCCTGCCACTAATAACCAGCCAAGCCTTTGCTGGGATTACATATTGATTAATGGCGGTGTGTGTATATCAACATCTCCAAGCCATGAGAAAGGGGCCCACTGATGTTGGGCTATCGGCCAAATGGACGTCAATGGAAAACCAAAACAAAGAGAACGTCATTTACTGATAACCAAACCAGCATGTTCATCACATTTAATAAACCAAAAATGTACTTGTCATGAAGTAATACAGTCTGAAAACGGAAGTATAACTATATTTATGACCACCAGGTGAATGGGTTTAATGAGAGTCAATATCAAGTTGCATCCTGGGATATGTAGGCTCTATTAAATACAAGTCAAGATATCTATGTGCTGTTCAAAAGCCCAAAAACTGTATGGAGGTTTTACACTAAATTGCTGGAGTATCCCCTCACTGGAGAACAATAAAACATTATAATAATCATCATTACTGTGAATATGACAAAGTGTAAATAGGCAAATAATATAACTGCTTAAACATTATTTTAAGTTAGGAAATAGTTTTTACTGTAATGCAACTTTCATAACCATAGACACCTTAGAAGATTTTGTACATTATTACTAAATTAGCTAAAACATGCATAGCCGCCAGTATAATCCTTATTATACTAACTATTGATATTACTGAGATAGGAAAAACAAGTTCAACCAACACAATGTAAAATCCAACTGCTATGCTATTATAAAACCATGAGATCAATAGTGTTTGACTAAACTATTAAGTTTAAGGTTTCCAATTAAAATCAAAAAGTAAACCAAGTACAGCACATTTAAAGATTTACACAATGCCACACCAAGTTAAATTCAAGGAAAGTATAATAAACTAAGTGCAGTGCAGAAGTATATGGCATGAGATAGACATCCCAGCTGAGCATGTTATGGTGCATGTGTCCTAATAACCGAGTCTTATCGCTCTCCATGCAACACTTGGGTCACAAAGCTGCATGAGGGAAGAGAAGAATACCATCGTGACAGATATTCCCACCACACCAACATACAAGCTGTCATATCGTTTACAAGGATAACTGCTGCTGTGCATAACCACATAGAGCAGAGGTAAGCGATCTGCATCAAACAACTAAAATAGTAATCAGCAGGAGGTGGAGGAGCACAACTTATGGAACTATTCCCACCGAGGAGCAGAATACATCCATGGAAAGTGAATATTTAAGCAAAGTGCAAGTGCACAAGGCGTTCCCGAGAGATCAGAAAGCGAGGAAGGGTGGGAAAATATAAAGGGGGCAGGTGTTGGGAAATGGCAAGAGAGTGTGAAGTCATTTTTGCCCTTGCACCAGCAGACAGGATGTCTCATTGAGATTCCCCTCATCGGGACTCCTGTCGACAGGTGCGCCGTGGCAACCTGCCGCAACTTCCAGGGGAAAAAAACACCATTCATGCACAAGTAAAAAATAAACCACTGATGGTGCCTTTTCTTTCCAAAACTTGCACAATAATCCAACTTGGATCGGCGATTTTACTTAATTGTCCACTGATTGGCGTAAAGTGCACGCTATGAATCGGCTCAGCACGCACCCATGACATTATCTTTACTTACAGTTCTCAAGAACTGGATTTCGTCTTCACCTTCTCCGCCTTCAGCCATGGCTGTGAAGGAGCCTGCTTAGACTCTGGAAGCCACCACTGACTGCCGGCAGAAACGCGATGCTGTGCCTCTCAAGACGATATTAGCATACAGCTCATCCACAGCCATATAGGGCAGCCCGGCGGAGCCCCCTCCTCCTCCTCCCCTCTTCCTCCCCCTCCTCCCTCTGCCGGCAGCAGCAGTAAAGACCCGGGTAGCAAAGGACGACCCCCCGCTGGTGTGATGCTTCTGCTGATGCTCAGTGGATCAAATACTTAAAACAATATATTTTAGGTGAAACCCCTTTTGATCCAAATTGAGTCAACAGTTTGCCCTGTCTGACAATGACGCATGGTGGTCAGATGAATGGCAGCAGTGGGGCTGAATGTAAAGTTAGGACTGGTACCCAGAGGCGGAAAAAATACTCAGATATTTACTTAAGTAAAAGTAGAACAAAAACAGTGTCAAAATACGTTGTTTCTAATAAAAGTCCAGCATACAAAATCCTACTTAAGTATAAGTACAAAAGTATTGGCATTCAAATATACTTAGGCTAAGGTACAAAACGTAGAAGTACTTAATGTGCGTAGTTTCCCATTGTTCAATATATATATATACTTTGCTGGATTATAATTAATAATGCATCAATGTGTTCATCGCTAAAGGTGAAGCTATTTGATTACTGATACTGAATATGTAGAGTAACTAACTCATTTTGCTAAACATTTATTAAAAAGTACAATATTGGCGGCCAAAATATAGATGGAAATTCTTCAGTAAAGTTTAAGTAAATGTACTGCAATACTTTGCACCACTGCTGGTACCCACAGCCCTTCCTCAACTCACCCATATATACATTCACACTTGTGTCAAAATTGTGCAGACATGTCATTTTAGTTCACAGGAATAGATCTGTTTTTACTCTCGGGAGGGAAAACACACCTCACTGCTCTCGCTTGTTAGTTTCACTGGCCAGCCTTCTGCTTAATTGCATGTCCTCTATTTTATGCAAATGTTACTTTATCTTTACTTGTTTGCCAGCTTGCTCATTAGCTTTGCTAATTCAGGAGAGTGATAATCAGACTCAGGTGTTGTAACGATTAAGTTGGCTCAAATATCAGTTTTTTATTTCACTATAAAAGTCTAATGTAATCTGTATATCTACTGCAGCTGTGAAATCAAAGCCATGATATACAGGTGTCTCTATTGTTAAGCATTGAGCACTGTGTTGCTGAGAAACAGTGAGGTTTCTTTTGTCTACTTATTTCATTTAACTTGATAGACATGTGTGAGAGTTACAATGCATGTTAATTGGATATCAAATATATACTTGTTCTTACTTAAATGATTTATAGTCAAATTTAAAAAGAGAGTTATAGCTTTCAAGGTGACACTCACATTATTAGGATTATATAATATATATAATATATCCATATTATCTTCAGCTTAACTGAATCTACCTTAAACTTCAGTGTCTGTACAGAGCAAAACCCAGCTACCAGCAGACAGGTGTCCATATGTTCATATGCTCAGGAGAGACACCAGAATAATCTGCAGATCAGGTTTCCTGCTGAGACTTCACTGACCTCTGGTGGTCATGTAGTGAATTTACAAAGGCAACATGCAATAATAAAACTATGACGAGTTAGTAATTAAAACAAAAGACACAGAATAAACTGGAGCCACAGAATGCGTTCCCTAATGTATTTCAGGTTGAGAGTTCATTCTGCTCTATAATTGCTTTTCCCTTTTGAATACATTTTTATTTTAATGCATTTTTTCAAAACGGTGCACTTTGGACTGTTGGTTGGACAAAAAAAAACACAAATTGTGTTTTTTCTGAATGTTTACACACCAAGCACTCAACCCATGAATGAGTAATAATCATCTGATTCAACCTAATGAAAAGATAGATTATTTGCATCCACAGATGGAAATGAGCTATTAGCTATAATCTGGCATATTGCATCTCTTCTCTTTGCTGAGATTAATGTTTTTGTATGCATGGTCCTTCTATAAATAAATACAATTTTTTTTTTAAAATCCTGATACAAAATAGTTTATTATATAAAAAATTATAAGGATAGTAGAATGAGTAATATGAATAATAATATGAATAATAATAATATGGTCATCGCAGACATTTTTCTACTTTTAGAACTTTGACTTACTTTGATTACTATTCCTCCTTATATTTCAATACTGTTACTTAAGTAATATTGTACTGCTGGATTTTTGCTTGTAAACAAGTATTAATGCCACAAGTAATGTGTAATTAATACTTTATTTGAGTAAAGAATTTCAATTTGAACTAAAAGTAGACAAAAGGTGTCTTCACAAAGCCAGAAACAAAACAGTATATCCTGCTTCACTGTGATCATTCAGCAAATCGGTGTCATTAGGATTAGATTGATTTGGGCAAATCCTCACTGAGCTACCGTCTGTTGGTTTGTATGGTCCTTCAGTACCTGACGATCCTCAGAGGATTAATGACAGGGACTCTTATCTGAGGAGCCAATAGGAGACATTCGAATTCTCACTGACAGCGCTGATTGGATAGAACCCCTGTCTGTCACTCCAGTGGGCGGGGAGTTGTCTTCTGTCACTAAAGGGTCACTGAAGAACAACAGAGAAGAACCTGCTGCTGCTAGCTGCCTGAGATGCGACAGAAACGAGTAAGTGAATGCTTTCATACATGTGGCACTGCTTGTTATCTGCTTTTATATGATTATATGATGTGAATATTTATCTGTTTTAATAAAAAATAATTGACACTATGATGTTTAAAGATACTTCTTTTGACTCGTTGGCGTTGCAAGTCTACTGAATACAGTCCTTTTTTGTGGCCAGGGTGTTATACCAAATACAAATAAAATAAACATATTAAAGTTGTTAAATGTAATAATATACGGTGGTAGGAATAGGTTACTCAGATCTTTGCATATATGTGTAAGTATTACTAATACTGCATCTAATCAAATTTAGCTAATTTGACTTTTTATTCTGTCTACTAGCTTGATAAAAAATGCAACATAATTTATTACTTTTTTATAATATTTTGCTTTAGATATGAATCTGAAAAGTAACTAGTAATTACAATTTTTAAATACATTTAAGTACAATTTGGGCTTTCAAAATGTAGTGGAGTACAATTTTTAAATAAGCCTAGAATAAAGATACTGAAGTCGATAAACCTCCTCAATTTCACTTTTTTATCAGTGTAGTGTGAAGTGCCAGCAGTTGCAGGATCAGTTTTCATGTGTTTTCTCTGAATTTATTTTTCAGTAAAATTACCTTTAAGTTATATAACTGGTAAACAGGATCAAGGCATTAAGGAATGTGTTTCCCATGCTTAGTATCTTTGCACAAACCTTTGTGTCTGGTTGTGATGCCTTTGTGTAGGGATGCATTGCCATTTTCATCCATGGTTAATTGGTTTATAACTTCATGGACCAAACATTTAGTGCAAAGAAAGTCTATACCAACTTCCCAAAGCCCAACAAGACCTATTCAGATGTCTGTTAAACCAATCAAGGCTCCAAAAGCCACACAAATACATTGTTAATAAAAGATTGAGAAAACAGGAAAATCAGAGAAGCTAATGTAATAAGAAGATACACAAATGTAGTGCATCATTTAGGGTATTTTATTGCACTTAGAACTCACAACACTTGGTTTGGTGCAGTGTCAAACCCTGAGAAACATCTCCTTCTACTTTTATTCTTCTTCTTATGGATATAGTTGGATAATTTAACCCTTAGATGCACGAGTGACTGGACCCTACACTCTTCCATAAGTGGGTCAAAAAGGACCAGTATTAGAATAATACATGTATGTGTTTTTATGCCATTTTTGTCATTTGGGTTAAGAAAAATCACTTGTATAATATTTAGTATTATATTTTGGTTCACACTAGAAATATTTTATATTTAATTTTTCACTATTTATAATTTTATAAACTTTTTTTACATTTTGACAAAAAACGTTTTGAACATATTGATGCAAAGATCTCCGCTATTCTGAGACCCTCACAGTATTCCAGTCCCTTTTCAAAACTCATCTCTTCTTCTCTTGTCTACTCACAGCCCACCCCTCATCAATCCATGCCGGTTGATCAAGCTTGATATTCCTATACCCCCCACCCTAACCTTCCCTTATATTGTAAAGCCATTTTGAGTCCTTGAAAAGCCCTATAGAAATATAATGTTTTATTATTATTATTATTATTATAATTATACTGACAGGTATCAGATCTTGCTGTTTGAAATAATCTTCCTGAGAGGTGTCACTTGTGATGTAGTCTGTGTGGTCTACAGTGAATGTATTCAGTGTCGTGTGTGTGTGTGTCACAACACACACCACACACAACCCCAGTGTGTTGGTGTGTGTGTGTGACGTTGTGCTGATGTAGGATGTGGTGTGTGTAGTAAGCCTATTTGTGTGTGATCGCTGAGTGGTCATGTAGGTCCTTCCAGTTTGTAGACGACACAAGGAGTGTCTCAAAGACGGTGTGTGCATACGTGTCTGTCGTGCTTGGAGAATGCTGGCCACTCCGCCTGTGCTAAACCATTACAACACAATGCTAGTACATACGTGATCGCACAGGCACACTCTACAACAGCGATACGAACCGAACGCAAATATTAGCACTTAATATCAGAAGAGTACCAGTGAACAATTCGTTTCTTGCACACTCATAGGTCCGCTAGTCCACGAATGAACATTCGTATTACGGGACATCGGTGTGATGTGTCGGTCAAGGGAGACGTGTGTGTGTGGTGTGTGTGTGTGTGTGTGTGTTGTGATGTGTGTGTTGTGTGTGCTCGCTGTGTGTCGTTGTGTATGTGTGTGTGTGTGTGTGTTGGTGTGTGTGGTGGTGTGTGTGTGTGGTGTGTGTGTGTGGTGTAGGTGTGTGTGTAGTTGTCGTTAGTGTGTGTGTGTGTGTAGTCATAATGTGTGTGTTTGTGTGGTGTTGTGGTGTAGTAGGATGTGTGTGTGTGTGTGTGTTGATAAGAGAGGGGGAGTGGGGTACTACGCTTTGTGTTTACCTCGCGTGTACTTACTTTGAATATTAACTCGGATTACGCGTTCTTTGTCGCGACTTGGGAGGGTACCAATTCCTTGCTTTTAGCTTTGTTTGCCAAGCCGTGTGTGCTCTTTTACTTTCAGTCTTACGGAAAAATGACAATGTATCATCTTCTTTGTATTGAATTGAACAAAAGTATTCCTTGAATTCATAACAAGGGCCATAGAAACAACCACAAATAAACTGTAGGTGTTCGTTAATTATATTTGCAGCTTCGTTAATTATCGAACATGACTTTCTAAGTTACTATTTCTAAGACTTAAAGTCGGTACCAGGGTTGTAGTGGATTTGCTGTTCTTAAGGTTTTATTTACGTTGTTATTTCTAGTGGTTCAGTTCTTTTTGATATTCAGATCTATTTGCTTAATGTCTTCAGTATACTGGTGTTATTTTGTACACACTCGACCCTAACCTCGCAGTTATGGGTAGTCGTGACTTGACATATTTCGGTAATTTTAGTTATCAACATGTATGTACCATCCTGTACCTTTTGGTACCTGTGTGGATGTTCTTTTATCTTTAGTTCTAGGTACACCTATACTAGTTTTTTCTTTTCGCTTTGAAACCTTCGTTGTGTGGTCTTTAAGGTGGACTGAACCATATACTTGACTATTACTATTAATTTGAGCTTTGTATTCGAAGTTTGAAACAGTATAATAGTTGTCTTTCGGTTTAGTTTACTCACCTTAGTCTTAACTCGACAGGTTTGTAATAATTGGTACTTTTATCCTAGTGGGAGAAGACCGGAGTGCAGACTGAAGTAAGCGGAGTGAGAAGGAAGGAAAAGGAAAGGTGATAAGAAGAGCGGGTAGTGTCGTGAACCACGTGAGGTGTAGAAGGTCGGGGAGACTAACTTTTGTGACGAAAGGTTACTTCGAAGGAGTGTTGGATACGTTGCGGTCTTTTCAGAACAAGCTACGCCAGCCGGTCCGGATCTTCCGGTTCTATCTTGAGACCTCCCTTGCCCGCTGTCTTCCCCCTCTGTACGGAAGTCTCTGGCGACGTACTTGCAGGGAAGAGAGCGTCTAAGGTTACCGGCTCCCACTGTCTGTTTGCCCGGGCTTCCGTTCGTCTGCGTGTCCTCTCCTTTGAAACTTTGTATACATTACCAAATTGCCGGATCAACAGCTAGGGTTTCTGGCACGTGGTGCTCTTGCAAAAGAATGGGAGACACCTAGCTGGAGAGAACAAAAGCGACTGGGTAAAAGTCCGGATGCGTTGAGACTGGAGTCTCGAAGAGGGTCTGGCCTCGGGAGGGGGGTGGACTCGAAAAGGGGAAGGTCTCGTGATACAAGACGTTAGAGATGCTGCAGGAGGTAGGAAGGGAGCGGGGAAGAATTAGTCAGTCTGAACTAAATCTGAGTGGCCGGGGCTCAGCGGAGGGGAGGAGGCTAGAAGGGTAATGAGGGCGGGCCAAGACGTTCGCGACAGAGGGTAGGGAGCATGAGGGTGACTTTCCTGAAGAAAGTTAGAGGACGGAAAAGATAGTAAATAGGTAGACATATAAATGGGGACGCCCCGGGAAAACTCATAAAGGATTACAGAAGACAAGCGATCTCCCCCCTATTGCATCTGCAACTATTACACAGTATGAGTCTTTCCAGTCACGGACTCAGTCCCCTCCGTGAAGAAGGAAAGTCTATTTAGAAGACAAAAACGGACTTTCTAAGGTACTTGTAATGATCAGTTGCGTAGCCCTGTCTAAGGGGAGGTGCGCCAAGGTCGAAGACACCTGTTGAACGGACGAGGAGTTTATACTTTGGAGAGGGAAAGGGTAAGTGACAAAGATGGTCCGACGTACCTCACGGTACCTACACAAACAAAAAAAAGACGATTAGGCGGACTCTCCCAGGGCCCCCCAACCAATAGACTCCAATACGGCTCGGTATCGGGTTGGGAAGTGAGAAGAGGAAGAAAGGCTCCCTGGGGACATTCAACCCCCTAGAACCTTTTCGTAGGACCAACGTTTTGTCCTTTCAAGTTGGATGCCGGCACAACCACAAGGTAAAAGTTACTTTCAGCCCGTGAGGGTTGCGTTGCCCTTCAAGCAGGTTGGAAAACGCTTAAACAGACGACCGGGACGAAACGACACAGCAAGCTCGCGAGAAGGGACGTCAATTTCAATCGGAGGAACCACGAGTTCACCCGAATTTCCCCGGGCGCCCCGGGCACGACTCTCTCGCTTCCCTGAGTATCGTCGAGGAGACGAGGTGACTAGCCCTACTGTCCAACTTCAGCGCCGCTCACGAGAGAGTACCAATCAATTATTGCTCTACAATTCGTGCCTCTCTACGGACAGCGCGTTTACCTACCTAAATAACCTAGCGTACTTCGGGACGGGTTTGTTTCACTTAGGGACTTCTGTCTTCAATTTAACCTGTGAAGGTTAACAAAGCACGTCCCAACTACGTCTACCTTGGAAATTACGGTATTCACGCAGAAACTGGGCCCCTCCAGCCCAAAGAACTTCATAGAAAGGTGGTAAGGAGTTTTGTACACCAACCAATGTCCGGTAAGTTTACAGAAGTTAAAAATGTAATTCTTAACATCATAAACATATGAGGTGGAGTATTCACCCTTTTTCACTGGGCGACGTAAAAGGAGACCCTGGAACCTTGAACTAAGAATAGTANTCCTGCCCCCCCCCTCCCTGTGAGCCCACTTTGCTCTGATTGGTCGGGACGTTGCGAGGCTCGCTGTTGGGAGGAGCGGACAGGTTTCCGTGTCGGCGAATCGCCGACACGGAAACCTGTCCGCTCCTCCCAACAGCGAGCCTCGCAACGTCCCGACCAATCAGAGCAAAGTGGGCTCACAGGGAGGGGGGGGGCAGGAGCTCCAACAAGCCGTTTAGGACAGAGAGTGAATACACATACTATACAGAGATGCTGTATGAGAAACCAATGTGATTTTGGAAAATTGCACAATTTAAATCTATTCTAGTAGACCTCAACAATGGAAATATGTTCAGTAGAAATGGCCATGACATGGGACCTTTAAGATTTGGATCTTAGACCAAGGTTTGAATAGTTTTAGCTTATGTTCCAATGGTTGTTTTGATAATGGCAGGATCTAATTGAGCTTCTCTGATGTAATTGGTTGAAAAGTTTATCGAAGTATGAAAAGAGTGGAGTCACATATCTGTAACAATGTAGAGGAAATGGTGAAAAGTTGTTGCTTTGTTTTTTAGAAATGATGTCTTTAATTTATTTCTGCAGATGTGGGCAACATGTAATGAAACATGACACAGTTCAAGATGCACTGAAGTAATGACAAACAATGCTACTAATGCTTTGATAATGATGATTTACACCTGGGGCAATTGTGTCTTCTACGAATGATGTTTATCGTCTTTGACACTGAAAACAGTTTGTGTTATTTTTCATATTATTTTTAAGATTTAACAGGTTTTTATGATCAATGGATTGTTTGTTGTTGTGGTTTTATTGCCTTGATGGTTTCATATCAAGTCTACGTTGAAAGCTAAGGGAGGACCATACGTGTAACCAATTTCACACCCATTTGTTGGAAATTGAGCCCAGGTATGGTAGGTACAGTAGGTAGTAAGAAGCACTATGGACTCGTAATATAGACCTTATGGACCTTTGGAGTCATTCCAGTATGCAGCATTTACCATGTTGCAATAGTTAATGCAAAGTCTGCCTCCTCATGAGAGTTGGAAAGAGACCGAGGCAGCGTTGTCCTGCGGCCTCAGGTGAACCTCCCTCAGATTGATGTAAATTGAATGGGAAGGATTTCCTCTGCATCGATTGAGCAAGCTGTGATGGCAGAGCTACTGTTTGTTTTTTGGCAGATTTTGTCTCTCTCCCCGTCGTCAGCGCTGAAGGAAAGCTACCTGCTGCCATCTCCATTATTTAAACAACCTTGATGTAAAGGTGGCAGGACCTCACCTCACTAACTCACCTTCAAGTGTGTACATGAGGTGCTCGGGGCGGCCCTGTATAGGTAAATCACTGACTAATTGATTATTTAGGATGACAGTATTCGTTTTAAATATTTAATAATGGATGAGCTCCTTCTTGGACTTGCATTAAAAATGTATGAAGGGTTGTGAAAAGTAGCTTCAGAAGATTAAGTACTTTTGGGTAAATACTAAACAATTTATAACAGCCAAAATCAATGTGGACCAGTTCTTTTGCATGGAGAATATGTCAATGGCGCTCTTTAATATGTATATACGCTGCTAAGTGGTACATGTAGTTGTGTTTAACATGCAGAGACAACAATGCATCTTTTCCTATCTTTTGATTTCCAGAAAGAACTCCATATTATCTTTGCATTATCCTATGTTTTTAATTTTGAACTGGTGTTGAAAAGGTAAAAAAATACCAATACATTATGAAAGTAGTGAGACAAGGCTCTGCGACATTTCGGGCAGTATGTTCATACCTGAAATACTTATTGTTGTGTTAAATTACTTATGAATTGCAGAATAATCTACTGGTCTGTAATGTTAAGGAACCATATTTTTGGTAATTCTTATACGCTAAAATCATACAATCTAAATCAACAACTTGTTTTTAAATGTTGTCTCTGATGCACTTACTCAACAACAATATCCTTCCGTACTGTGTGCATCACATATTACATCGTAACCCAACATTGATTTAGCATTGCTGTTTCAGACTCAGCAGGAATGACAGTGCAGTGTGTTGTGGTGTTAGCAGTAGAATCACAGAGAGCAGCAGCAGCAGCGTGAGCGGACTCTCAACTCTAATAATTACCGTCATTAATCAACGGAGGACGGAAAAAGGTGCCGACCGCCAGCCTCATAGCTTTTTGATGTTCCCTTAGGTCACTTTCATTTAACACTTACACGGCAGTTAGTGTTGTTATTGAATGTTAACACCTTTTTTATTTATTTAAAGGCCACTGAAATAATTTATTCTCAATCGGCCTCACTGTGCGTGATGCCTTGGTTGATTAAAACACTATTTTCTGCCAAAGTTTGAATAATCTTGGCTATTTCTGCGACATTTCAGTTGACATTTCAGGTTTGTCCTGCAATTTCTGATGTTTTTTTGGCAACCTACGGGCAGCAGAAACCGGTTGCAACAATCTTTGACATATCATCATTATTTCTCAGAAACCCAGCTATGTCCACCTGATCAATAATCTTCATATAATAACTCAATGTAGACTTCGCCCCACTGGCAGTTGTTGACAGACAGTTTGGGCGAACAAATAGGCTTTTTTCTCGATATCCGATCCAGTAATGTGGCCAGTATTGAAAATCCCTAGTTTTTAGAGCCTTTTTGTTAAACTATTTGCTTAAAAACAAAGCTTAAGAGGGCAATGAGAAGAAGCTTAAACATTTGTAAAAGTTTGTCGGCTGAACATTAAGTTAATTCCCCTATTGTCTTCACAGTGCCTTTGGCCACATTGTTCCTATAATAAATTCGGACTGTAGGCGCTTAAAGACTTAAAGCCAAGTTTGCTGAGCATGAAAGCTCTTTTTAGAAAAACGCCTTGAGTCACTGAAGAGCTCTGCTGGTGCAGTTGGGTGCTTTGAGTTGCTCAAGGGCACCTCATACTAATAATAGGGGGATCTGATGTTTGAATAACTGATCCCGTTCAAATTATTTTCTGACAAGACAGGATTTGAGAATGTTTCACTTTTGGGGAAAACATGATTCTGTCTGACACTTCTCCAATAATTCACTCATCGTTAGTTTCTCAGTAGGACCACTAACATTTTAGAAACACCATTTTCTATTTGCTGTGTTCATCCAGCCGTAACAGCTGCAGTCTAGAGATGACACATCGTTGCTTGATGGATCTGGAAAGCATTTCCAGGCCTTGCAGGCAGGGAGGTTTACCTTGTCACACACCGCCGCTGATGTATCGCAAAACACTTAAACGCTCATTGAATTTATCTTGTGTCGCGTCCTCTTATTGACCCATAGCCATTCGGTCTGTCTCAGGAATGAAAGTCTGGGAAGTGTATTTCAAAGAAAAAGTGCTCTCCTTATCCCGTCTCTGTCCTCTGGGTCTTTTGTGGTGTGAAATCTCAAATAATCTAAAGTTTGCATCGACTTTGATACTCGCAGATATGACAGAATGGAGGGTAAAAACAGATGAGCTGAGGGGGGTTAAGTTCAGGTGACTGTTTCACTTCAACTGCCCTGCACTTCCTTTCCTCTCCCTCACCTCACATACACAATCCTGTCCACCTCTTCACACCTCACTGCGTCTTCCCAGTGTCCGCTCTGTGTCATCAGGCAGGATGATGGACTTCAGAGGCTTCGTCCCTGACCGGAGGCCAACATTATTTCCGTACTTCCTTATGCTAAGGTGC